AGGGGCTTATGTGTAGACATAAGACTATACTGGATTGAATAGTTCAGAAAAAGCTGGGTAAGGGGGTCTGTGGCCCAGCCAATACAGTTCTAATCTGCAGCAGCAACACACACTTTTTGATTTATTTTCTACTCAGCAGAGGTGGGTTTCTACTCACGGAAACAAGCTGATAAAATTCTTTTGTAGAAAAATATATACATAGATGTTGCTTTATATTATTTTTGTTCAGAACCAATCACTATGTAAATTCAGGCTTATTTGTCCTTTGTTCAGCTTTTGTACAAATTTCTGTGGTGTTTTTGCCATAGGTCAGGAACAAAGCTCAACAAGCCTTCTTCACAGCGTTGGGGACTTACAACTTCTGTTGCCGGGACATCATTCCTTTGGTTTTGGAGTTTTTGAGGCCAGATGGGTACAGTGTCACCCAGCAACAGTTTAAAGTAAGGAATGTATTAATTTTCCTTACAGTAGGTTCTGTCAGTGCCATGGAGGGGGGATTTGGAGGTGCAGTCTCCAGCCAAAGAGACTATTTTGTTGCCCCTTAGGATCCCAGAATGAAATTGCCAAAATTCAGTGTTGAAATGACTTCTTTTTGGTATTGTAGTAATTATGCCTCTCAAAATAAGAATGGAAATGGGATCAGGAGGTCTGTGGATGGCAATCTCCCTCCCACTCTGTGAAACAATGTTGCTTGAATCCAGCCATTTTGCAGTCATGATTTTGGTGGCATGATTTCAGGTTGTTTTTCAGAGTTTGGGTGGAAATAGGAATGGGGTTTATTTTCTAGAAACCTCCCGGCACCCTTACAACAGGAAAAAAGTTTGAAAAAATTAAGTCCCTCCCCTTCCAGTGCCATCACCGCACCACCAGAAAGTCCCCTGCAGTTCTCTGTTTGGTCAGGGAACATGTTGTCACTGCTGATCCAGGAGAAGTTGACTTAAATACACTTATAAAATTGTGGAGATGTAACTTAGAATGTTATACATTATGTTACATATAAGTAACAGAATATAGTGAATGAGGATAACATGAAAAACAAATATTATTAACTTCAATATATATGAGACTTGCTTCCTTCTCAATCTCTTGATGGGTTTTTAAGGTTGTAAGAGTGTAAATTTTAATGATACTTTTTATACAGTATGGGGGAAGGGGTGATTTTTTTTATTGACACATTCTCAGTTGAAACCCTGAGTTTGGACAGCTTTATGAAGCAAAATAAGCTTTTCTAGCTTTCAGGATTTATTATTCTATTTATTTTTGCTTATTAATGTGATTCATATGGCATCCATCTCACCATGGTGATTCTGGGAGACTAACAGCATTTAAAATCATAATACTAATAACACAAAACCACAATACATATAATGACAACCATGGTGAAAACCCCAATCTGCTGCAAATCAAACAGTGTCATGGGCCTCAACTAACAATCTGATCCCCATGCCTGGGAACACATCAACATCTTCATAACATTCTGTGAGATCTTACAAAATTATTGTGATCTTGTAAAAATTGGCAACATGTGAGATTTTAGCAGTTAAAAAGAAACATACTATTGGGGGAAGGGAAGCCGCAGACACTGTTGCTGGAGCTAATAAATGTTCTGGCAGATACAGGTATTGTATTGAAAATCCCTATTCTAAAACACCATAAAATAGACTTGCTTTTGTTGTTAAGTATTAAGTCAGTAGGATGGGGACAAGGGAAGACACTCTTGCTTACTCGTTTAAACAGTGTAGTAACTGAAATGTTTGGACATTGTATGTTTATTCTTTACTTTATAGTGTATCCTGACTTTTTGTATTACTTAGAAGCTTGTAAGTTTAAGAAATGTGAAATTACAAGTATTTCCTGCCTTTTCATTATTTTATTTAGGAAGAAGTGTATAATCCTATTAAAAAGCAATAAAGCTTAATGGGATGATATTCAACAGCATTTTTGCAGCCTCTGTGTACATTATTGAGAGAAATAGTTCTCTAATGGATTGCTTTTAAGATATAGTATGTGAAACCCTTAGGTTGTAGGCATTATAATTATACTATTATAAACAAAGAGAGGATCGACTACTGTAATTTTCTAGAGCAGTAATTCTGACCGTAAGTTAATAATTCTATCCAAAATTTATTTTCCATAGGGTGCCTTGTATTGCCTTCTTGGAAATCATAGTGGAGTATGTCTGGCAAATCTTCATGATTGGGACTGCATTGTCCAAACCTGGCCTGCAATTGTCTCTTCTGGACTTAGCAAAGCAATGTCTCTGGAAAAGCCATCCATAGTTAGACTCTTTGATGACCTTGCAGAGAAAATCCATCGGCAGTATGAGACAATAGGACTGGATTTTACTGTAAGTGTGAAATAATTACATTGCTTACAATTGTTTAGGAATGGGGCCTGGTTACTTGAGGGACTGCGTGTCTCCCATTAGTATCTGCCTTGCCAGTTTGATTTGGCAGGGTTGGTGCACTCTGGCCATGATGGCATAAATATGTTACCTAAATTTGGCCGGTGGCCTGGGATCTAGCACTAGGGTATATATGTCTTGTGCAGGAAAGTGGGGAAGTAGGTGCCAATGCCAGTATGTTTGGATTAATGGCAGTGGTGCATTAGGTCTTACTTGAGATGTTATACTAGCAGTGTGATTATAAACTAGAATGTAAAAATTTCAGTTAAGAAACTGGGGGTACAATAATTTCCACATACTAGGAAATAATGTAAGTTTAAAATTATATGCCAGTATTAATAGCAGTTGCCTTTCATAAATGATCTGGTTTGGCCTCATACAGTTTGTATCATTTCTGAATTACTGTGTCACCAGAATAATATATGAAGAAGGCCAAATTCAGATGTGGCAAAAAGTATTGGTGCCCCTCCACTTTTTCCCAAAGAATCCCAAT